CCTTTACTACTGTCCACCTAACCAACATTGAAATTGTGGTAGCCCGGTAAAATGCAAAATGTATTCCTTTACGCATGCTTTAAATCCAAGGATCCAGTATAAAAATGGAATCACACGAGTCCTTGCCTCCTCGCTTACTCAAATATTGTTTAAAAGCTTCAATGCAATTCTGCTCATTGCCAGAGCAGAGACGTGATCTCCGGGGGTCTGTTACGCCCACGCAAAATAAGCAAACTATTACGTATTTCAGATTCTTCCTAACGTACATGCGGCTATCTTACTTGTGGTTTATCTTATCAGCTTGATTTTCGGTTCGTTTCACTTTAACACAACATTGCTAACAATTTCATTTAACACATTTTTCATCATTCGTCTTAAGTTTTTCCTGCAGTATGTAGCAACGTTTGTGTAATGCTTTTATAACATTTGGAGCATTTAACCGTGGTTTAGCACTGATATGCTAATGTAACTGAGTGCAGCAGCGTGTATCGTTGAAACGGATTGTGGAAAAGTTTTACATGATCGCATGCGATTGATATACATCAAAAAAAAAAAAGAAAAAATCAAAATAAAAAAACGTATGGAAAGCTCTGAACGAAACGTACAACAGTTATATAAAGATTTAATGTTTGAAAATTGTAATGTATTTTTATTAAAGCGAATTTAGAAATATTCACACATCAGCTTATACCTCAGCTTTTTAAAAGATGGTATAACTATGTAGCGATCTGATGAAGTCATTCGGGACTATCACCGATGGTAAATGGCGGGACTTAAAGTTGACTTTTTGCTTACCACTCACAAAACTACAGCAAGTAAATCCATAGGACTTTGAACGTAGATTGCCTGGGCGATCCTATAGTACCTGCAGCCATATTAAAAACGTGCGGAAGCAAGCTTTAAAAACCGCACAAAATATGTAGATTCTTGATCAGTGTCAAATTCGAAATCTCCTTAATCATATCTGCCTGTCGGTTTGTTCATCTGTCTGCCGAATATAATTTTCTTATTTATTATTTTTGTTTCCTCTTCATTGTTAAAAATTCAAAGGACTTTAAAGCTAATTAAAAAAAATTTCTGCGGGAGCTCAGGAATTTTTTCTAACATACCGGGTCTCAAAACATTAATTGGCATAAGGCGGATGTCTGCCTGCTATTAATTTCAAAGACTTTTGTATAATTGTCTGGTACTCCTATGAACATTTCTCTTACTTCTGCTACTATTAGAGTCATATATCAACTATTTTTAATGCCTCTTCAAATTCCACTTTGTTTAGATTTAATAATACGTTTAATAAATATTAGAAAAAAAATTTCAATTTTTGTATATAAAATCCATCAAGTAAGTATCATAAAAATAAAAACCTCAAAAATAAATAATAATAATACTTAAAAAATAATGGTAAAAAGAGAAAATGTATTTGTCATAAAACTCACATAAACAAAACGACGATGATAAGGCTGAAAACGAAATTTATGGAAGTCTAACAAATAATTGCGTGTAATTTTCATTTTCAAAGCTAATTAAATATCTATTATATTGATGAGATTTGTAACGATCATCATATATAAAAATGAGCCTTAAATGAAGAATCGAGAAATCTTTGTTGCTGCAAAGACAAATGTACAAAGTCAGAGAATTGTAAGAAATAGAGCCTCTTCTACAACTTCGTGTAAACGGAGTGATGGCAGACGCCGCAGCGAAGCATTTATTCACGAAATACTCTTATTGTCTCTGCTCGCCACTTAACTTAAGGAAATGTTTGATATTTAAGCTAAGGAAGTTGTATTTTAAGTGTCTATCTGTTAAAAGTCATTGAAGCTTAAAAAGCTTGTTACGCCTACAAACTTCGAGCGGTATATTCGTAAGCTTGGGTTTAATTTTACGCCTTGATGGCTTTAAGCAAAGCAGCATGGAAAGTGGCCTGCACTCCAGAGTTTTAAACCTTTTCGGCATCTTACGAAGCATGCTAGGCATAACCTGTGCATATGGTTTTGTGCCAGCGAATAGCTTCGTACAAAACTGAATGGATTAAGCTGCCAGAGGCATTCTTGTCTCTCGCATGCATTTCGAAGGGTTTTCTTTAGAGGTTTCTTGTACTTGTCGTACAAACAATGCATTTCTAACAAAGATGGAATGCCTTTCACCCTTTTTGCGCTTTGTTAGTTTCCACGTCATAAAATTAAGCTTTCAGTTGAAGGCGAACCTTGCAAATAGATAACCAAGCTGAACAGAAATCGTTGGAGGCTTTCAAAGCGCTGCGTTTCCGCACGATGACTGCATTGCCCTTCATTTCTTGCGTCACTTTGTATTTATTTACATATGATTTCTTCAAAATTATGAATATCCTGAGATATTGTATGCACTTTTTATAAAACGAATTCCGTCGCGCATTATTGTTGCCTCACTAAAGTTTTCAGTGCACAGCATCAAATACAAAAGTTTGATTGCTCGACGACAAGCCTACCTCTGGATAGTGCAAAGCCGACCATTATATATCCCACACCACTTCGCATAATCCAATAATTAACGTATTTTCGTGAAAAAGTGCAAAAAAGTGTTGTTTGTTATCATACAAAGCCCTACTTACCATGGCAGCCAAACGTACGTTAAAACTTAATGTACCATTTCCTACCACAAGCCCAAAATTATAAAAAAGAAAATGTAAAAAAACTGGCAAAATAAATATTGAGCTAATAAAGGCTTTAAAAGAAGCGATGGCTTTGTGTACATTCTAAGAAAATAAATTTAATAATGATTCGTACATTGTTTTGCAATAATAAATCTATGCAGCGCATATTGAATCTAATATTGAATATAGTAATAATATTGATTTTTATTAAATTTCTGAAACGGAATAAAAATTATTGAAATAAAATTTAATTAAACCTGGAATTGGCGTAAGTACCTCACATAAACGTTTCTCGGAGTTTATAACGTCGTAATCTATTATTATTAAGTCTTCGAAGGAGTTCTTTTGCTGTACATATGAACTCATCTTGCAAGCATGTGCTTATTAAGCAAAAAAAAATTAATTTTCCGCTTTCTCTAACATTTAGCGAAAGAGTCGTCATAACAGACAAGTATGATTTCAAACTTCTTCAAACCTAAGCTAACAAGCAACTGCATCCTACTTGTATCGCGTTCTTTACGGATTTTAGAGTATTTTTGTTTAAGTTTACTTCGACCGCTTCAATCGCTTCACTCTCAGTCAGTTTTTTCACGTAAAATATCTTATCGATAACGAACGTTACATACATTTGGAAAGGATAAGGATCGCATCATTTGCGAATATTATCGCCCTTAACCTTTCATAGATTTACATTGCCATGTTTTAAATGTTATGAAAAAAGATCTCTGAATGCATCGTCCACACTACCTCGCACTAAACCCAGCAAAGCTATAAAAGCATTTAAAGTAACTATGGATTCTCCATGGGCTTGTTTTTCACAGCATCCTCGTTTAATAATGCTTTATAACCTAGTAAAACCAAAAGTCTCTTTTAAAGCTGACATACTGTCTAGCCTATCTAGCTCACTAGTTTTGAAGGAACGCTTACCTTTTCGAAATTAAATTAATTATTATATAAAAGCTTTGATTTACCGAATAGAACGGATAGATGGGACAGCAGTATAACAATAAAATGAAATCATATGATTTAAAAACCCATGTTATGTATCCACCGATGTTCATTTGTTGTTCTTTTGCCCACTTTTCTTTTTAAATTGTTCTGTAATAATAATAAATAATAACAAATCATTAAAGCGAATTTTTTAAAATCAAAATATCTGGATAGTAGCCATGAAGCTTTCTTCGAAGTGTTGCAAACATTTCGGTAAAATGAATATATCCTTCATCTCTAGGTAATTAAGCTGACATGTTCGTGTTTGGCGTGTTTTTTGTTGTTGCTCGTACAATTTCTCAGCAGTCTCAGTCGATTCCCTGTTCATTATGTTCATTGTTCACATTTTTCCAATTTTCATTTGCTTTTGAACTTTTGAACGGTTAAGACGGTAAAGGCGGTAATGATGCGTAAATTTGTCGTCGCGGGCGCTTGTACGAAATAATCTACGTAAATATGCACAAAACCTAAGACATAATAAATAAATTGTTATAGAACCTTTCAGTCATTTAAGCATCTAACATGAGCGCGGATTAAGCGGTTGTTTTGCCATAAGCGATAACAATTTGATTTTTCGTGATAGACATTCCCAAAAAGAGTTGTGTTTTAAAATGTTTTTTTTTTTTTTTAAGGAGAAATAAGTGATTTAAACAAATATTAGTTGTATAATAAAAAACGGTCGATTGTGAAGTTCGGCAAGCATCTCTAAGAAGCTCTACAGTCTTTGCACATGTATTCGATTGATGTATTTGATCTATAGGAAACAATAAAATTTTGCAGTAAACTAAAGCATAATCAAAAAGCACATATCAATAGACAAAAAAAAAAAAAAAAAAAAAAAAAAAAAAAAAAAAACTAAATATGTAGCTCGAAGATCAAACAAAAACCATAAAACCGGCAATATCTTCAGGCAAACTTAGCGGAAATGTCTAATTTACAGTAGCACTAATTTAATATCGTTAAAGTCGTTTCGGTCTGCTATTGCTAATGGCTTGAAAGTTCTAAAAAAAGATCATAAACTAATGCATAATTTGAGACAAATGAAAAACTCCTGAATTTTGTTGCTTTCATCTAAACTCGATACCTATAAGGAAACAAAAAAGTTAAAAACTACCAGCTAACAAATCTAATTATTAGTTTAGTTTTAAAGAAAAGAACAAATCGTTTTCGGATATCTTAAGGATTAAGTCTGCGAAAGTTCAAAGAATAAGATAACGTATACACAGTTTTTCCGAGCTGAAAAAGAAGCAGCGCCAAAAAAGCAAAGTAATACGGGATCAATACAATTTGTTTGCAGCACTTCAATCATCAGAGTCTATTCTCCTTAACGAGGATTAACAATGGATTACCTGACATAAGCAGCAACTACGTAAACAAGCTTCACATGCTGCACATAGACAACTTTCTTTTTTTTTTTTTTTTTTGCTTGAAAAGCCAACAACAACAACATTTCCTTGGAGTGTGCGTTTGTCCATTGTCATCGTATTTGTAGTCTTCCTTTGGCCTCTTATCACATGCCATTACATTTAACGAAAAAGGAAACAACAAAAGCAGCCGTATTGGTCCTCTCTCACTCTTCCTCTATCTCTTTTCATCTCCTGCCGGTGTTCTTGCATTTTTGCTTTTATGGACTTTCATCTTCTTATCCTACACTCATGGATAACTACTCTTAAACACAACGACGGTAAGTTCTGGTTTTTTTTTTTTGTCCCTTTTTTTGTATATATCTTTTGTTATCTTTTTTCCATTTTGAAGATGAGAAATTCTTTACATTGCTTGCTGTAGATACTTCTTGGGTTTTCGTTACTATAATTGATAACAATATTTTTGGCATATGTTTGTGTTCTGTTCTGATCTTTTTCTATTTTAATTTTTAAGGTTATTTTTTTAGCATAAAAAAATGCTTAATGCTCAGTTTATGCCGCCTCTACTTTTAGTAACTAACTAGACAGCAATCGACCATTAGGATTTCAGAGCTTAATAAGAAAACACTTTATGTGTAAACTTACTTAAGCAAATGGAAATTAATTTAAAAATATATTAAAATTGTTTTCCTTTAGCGCGTCCTTGCAAGATTTCAGGCGAAGTTTTATGGTATGAAACTGTTTTGAAAGTCAAAAACGAAGCAACCTATAAGAAATAGCAGTAAGCAACGATTGATTTAAAATAATTTATGAACACTTTAACCCACTCACCGCCATACAAAATTAAAGTGTTTTGACTTGGGTGCCAGAGTTCTTTTTTGATTCTGTTCTAAAGAAAAAGTGAAAAAATTAAATATGTTTTTAACATCTTTCTAATAGTTCTCTAACCGCACATATTCGCAGACCAATTGTATCCACGTCTAGATATTTTGAAGCTGGCAGTGAATTGCTTAATTCTGCTATTGTCTGTACATAGTGTGCACCTAGCCTCCTAGCCCATGCCAGTCTAAGTATGTATAAAATAAAAACGAACTCAAAAACCCAACCTACACTTTAGGATTCATTTTTGGTATCAACCTGAAAGCGTGCCCAAGACTCAAAAATTAAGAGCCATTGGGTTTATTTGTGGGTTTATGCTAAGTAAGGCAATATTTAACGCAAGCTTTTAGGCATTTTCGGAATATATTTGCACCAAATTTTAGATTTTCAACTTCCAAGTATCGTAAGTTATAATTTGTTACCTGTTGTTGCCTAAGTGTAGACTCAAAACAATTCTGGTCTATGAAGTCAATTATTATATTATATATTATTATTATTATTATTAATTTCGTGCCAGAGAAATAAACTCTAAGACTAAACTCTTAAAAGCACCAGCATCTAAGGCTATCGGCTTTTTTTATTAAAAACTCTACCGCACTTGAGATTCGAGAACCCACGACCATTGACTTGCTAGTCGAGATTCCTCGCCTTTGGCTACTCAGGTGGATCAATTATTATAATAATTCAATTATTTCAAATATTAATGTAAAGGCAAAGCTTATAAAATTTATCGTTGGATGACAAGTCCTGCAAAAACTTATAAAATATTATTATTAAATGGTGCAATAAATGTATTATAATAACATATACTGATTACACAGAAATTAATTTTTGCCCGAATACCGAAAATTTATTGGGCAATCCTCCATGCCAATTATATGCAAGCGGACTAGTAGACGTATAGACAGTCATGCAGACGCTGATAACTTCACTCCTTCTCTGTTACGTTGCAATGGTTTTCTGATACGTTTCTCTATATATACAAGTAAGATCTTACCTACTTTTTCCTTTTCCTCTAATTTTGCAAAATTATTTTTTATCCCAATATTTTAGTCCAAGTATCGTACAGTGCTGGCTATACGTTCCTCCCACATTTGTGGTACAAAGCTTTACCTCGTAACGTGTGCATCGAGCGCAACTAATCTTTGATATCCATACCGTCTGTTCGTCTTCTTTGAGTACCCATTTCCATGCTGCTGTCTTAATAAAAATAGCGAAAAACTTTTCTAATGTTACTCAAATACCATCAATAGTTTCACATCACAGCGCGCTACACTTGGTATTGCAATCTCGAAACCCCCCGGAAGGAAAATATGCATGATTAATTGGACTCAATGTCTTATTTCACGCTATGGATAACGCAATGAATTCTGCATATCTTTGTTATCGATTTTACAGATTCGAACAGGACCTCAATTTAAAAATCCTACTCTCTCTCTTTCTTACGCTATCATTAAGTTCGTAATACGTAACAAAAAGACGACGGCAAGCTCGATTTTCGCGCATAAGTATTTAAAAGAGCTGATCAATTACAGGCGTAGGACTGAACTTTTAAAACTGTCAGGTAACATTTTTTTTACTCCAAGCAACTGAAAACTTCTTATACCAAATGAAAATATTTATAGAAAGTGTCTTGAGCTTTTACATCTTACTTATTTTACTTTTTCGTAATACTTCCTTTGACGGTTCCCTGGCCTTTTGTTGATAACATTGCGGCTGCAATCATTGCATTCACTAATAGAAGGAATCTTTTAAATTTAAACAATTTGCAAATTACAAGAAATGCTAAAGCTAATGAAAAGGAATCAAATTTAATTAAACAAAACTGTAAAGTATTTATTTCTATATGGTTTTTTTTTTTCCTTTTTTGTTTCAAATTTCGCATATTATATAATTTTAGTATTCATGCAAACTTTAATCCTCTTTCACATGCATATCGAATAATATTACGAAACTGTTGCACTAACACTACTCTAAAGTCTTTCACAATCCAATCTTAGTAATTAACAAAAAATGATTACACGAAAGAAACAAAGGAGAAGAGGTTACAAAAATGAAAATCAATAGGTAATCAACAATTGTTGCAAAGAACTTTTCAAACTTAAACAAAGCGGCTATAGTCTCAATATCAGATGAGTGAAAAATTTCATGGCGTGTTTTCATCAAAAGTCAAACACAATTTTCTTACATCTTTAATTGAAGTTTTTTACATCAATTATGTAACCTTCCGATCGGCAACCTTTTGCTTTCTTTTTGGCATGTCGTTACTGCACAACTTCTCGAATTTTTGGGCGACGAGTGATTTTCACTGGGTTTTTTGAAATGAGGTTGACCTTATTAAGAGAGCATTGCAGAGAGTGAAACACACGGATCAGAGTTCCCGGCAGGAAGTCCTTCAAATTTTTCCGACTCATTGCAAACGTATATGGTGGTTGACATTGTCGTGTCGTAGTGTTCTCACATCAACTGCAAATTTTGACACGCATCATTTGAAGACTGATATTATTCAAAAATCGTACGATGTGTTATATCTTCATTTTTTCCACGCCGGGAACAATGCGTACCACATTGGAGAACGTTAACAGGCGATTAATAATAATTTTGCTTGTTTTACTTTACTAGCATTAGTTATTGACGGTACATCAGTAGGGGCTTTGTTATCGTTTCTGTAGCTTCATCTGAGAGTTCCTCGATCAATTGCCCTATGCGGTCCGCCTGGTCCGGTGGAATAAGATTCATAGCCGATTTACATCTCCCAAACTCAAGTTTTTTCGATTTGCGTATATATTTGGAGACACGAATAGGAATGATTTTGTGAATAAAAACGACATTTTTTACGCCAGTAGAGGTAACTCTATGAGCTGCATATAGTATCTCGTATTTAGGCTTTTTGAATATGTATTCATATTACAGCGAGTAGCAATTTGCTTACGAAAATGTTTTGGGCATTATTATGAGTATCAATAAATAAAAATTAATAAAATTCTTACTGAGGTGGTTTTGGTTACAAACGACAGGACAAACCTGATATGCCCTATTCTAGTCTAGGTAGTGGGCACAAAAACTATTGCTTTAAATAGTTCAGGCAAAAAACAAAAAACAATGAGGACTGATACGTGTCATAAACAACATAAGTGAGCGATATGGTTCGTTTGGCTAATAACGCGTTGCGTCGTTCAGCTGTTACATTCCGGCCTACAGGCAAGTAAATAACAGATCGATTGATGTTTCATATATCTTTGATAAGGAACCGCAACAGGCAATAGAATGAATCAACTGAACTGCTATGAAGTGATAGTTGGCTGGCTAATCGAACCATTAGACTCTTTTGTTTGTAAACGCATTAATAGTCACTTAAGGAGATAAGTGTCAAAACATAATTTACACTAAAGAAAAGAAAAGAAAACGAAATTTCACTCTGCTTAAGGTACACGCATTTATCTGAAGGAAAGAAGAAGAAGAAGAAGCAGCAGAGAAAAACAAGACCTTGAAGGAAGGGTAAACAAATTAAGTAAAGTGTTGAAAAAATGCTAATTTTCGTTCAAGAAGCGGCAGGGACAAAATTCCTATCTCGCTCTATCTCTCTCTCACGCGCGCCCACAAATCCACATTCACAGAAGTCGCAGAATTAGTTTAACGTTTTCTTAGTTTTGTGTTATTGTCTCTACTTACATAGAAATGAAAGTTTTCTCTAGCATTAGAGAATACTAGCAGCAGCAGTCGAGACAGAGCTCGTAAAGAAAGTAGTGGGATGAGATTTTTTTTTTTATTAGGTAAAGAGTATCTGTTTGCGTTGCCTACCACTATCTAATGTACACGTAAGTGATTTTTGGGTACCAAGCGTCTCTAATGCAACTGCCAATAGTGTAGAGGAGTAAGTAAGTAAGCGAGCAAGCAAGCAAGCAGTGGAGTGTCGAGTTTATCGTATGTTTTATGAGCTCAACAGATTTACTAATGAATTTATTGTCATTTGTTTAGTTGAAGTTAACATCAAACAAACGCAAGCACAAACACATACACGCAGAGAGAAACACTAACGCCACACAACAAGTGCAATTCAAGTTAAATAATTTAACAATGGCGTCAAATGTACTTCGCTATGTCTGCTTGTTTGTCTGTCGGGTTTTTTAACTGAGATGCTTAAAACGAATATTATTGAAAATAAATGTAAATAAATGAAATTCTCTGTAAATATCATTTCGTTGGTATTTATTGCTCTGATTGTACTGCGAGTGCTGCGTTGACAAATGTTTCATATGTAAAATGGTTGGCAATTACGTTAATGCACACGAGAGGTAAAGTTTACAACAAACAATCAAATAAACGCATAAATTATTTTTAATTATGCAAAGTGTTAGTTAAGACCGACTGAAGTGATTGAGTGACTGAATGCATTCACAGTTGTTAACCTGGAGCGCGAAGGCGGGAATCTTAAAAACTT